ACTGCCTATACCTATAAACACCCATGAAACAGTTTGGGATGGAGATATTACAATTATGCAAATAATTAAGCCCACTGTGTAACTGAGAGCTGTTTCAACCCCGACTTTCCCACAAAGAGATGCTGTTCAGTGCCAGACAGAGAGACAGACACAACTCCTACGCCGAGAGATGCAATTTGTTTGGCTAGCCGCTGGGGTTTTTTCTGAGCCGGGACTAATTGGCATTTTAAGAGAATTGTTATAATAAGTCTGTTTGAATGGCTTGACTTCCATCTGCAGTCTGTCGCATTTGCAGTACCCCTTTGAACTGAAAATTGGATGGAAACTACGCAAGTCTCCGCTCCAAGCTGGAACATTTCATGGCTTTTAAATGTTTCTATTTCTCCTCCTCGCTGGCGCTTTAAGCAAAATGAAGAAGGAGACTTCAAATAAAGGGAAATGAAATTAAATCTTAACCGCAATTATTCATTTATTTTGTCTGGGAGGAGTTAAAGTGTGAATTAAGAAAGAATTGGCAACCGTCAATTCATTGTCACTCTTTCCTGTAGTTTAGTGATGTGCGTGTAAGTATGTAGTAGTATAATAATAATTACTCACACTTATATAGCTCTTTTCTGGACACTCCACTCTATCACCACCACCAATGTGCAGCATCTAGCTGGATGGTGCACCAGTACTCTCACTGCACACCAGCTACTGTACCAGTGGGGAGGAGAACAGAGTAATGAAGCCAATTCATAGATGGGGTCACAGTTGGTGAAAGCCGGGGAAAATCTGGCCAGGACAATGGGGTAACACCCCTACTCTTTTTGAGAAACGCCCTGGGATTTCTAATGACCACAGAGAGTCGGGACCTCAGTTTTACGTCTCATCCAAAGGACAGTATCTTTTTTACAGTATAGTGTCCCCATCACTATACTGGGTTATTAGGACCTACACAGACCGCAGGGTGAGTGCCCCCTGCTGGCCCCACTAACACCTCTTCCAGCACCAACCTTAGCTTTTCCCAGGATGTCTCCCCACAAGGTAGAGGCCAGGCTCACACCTGCTGAGCTTCAGTGGGCTGCCAGCTCTGAGCTGTGAGCTGCAGGGTGATATGCCTGCTGGGATATTTTAGGAATCTTTTTTGTAATGTAACATGTGGTAACAAAATACTGTAAGCATGCTGTAAGAGTTTGATGCTTAAAATGAAATGATAAGTACTGCAAACGCACGCCTTGGTGAACTGCCTATTTCACTTTGGGCTCTGTTCTCAGCTTATTGGACATTCATCCATCCTAGCAAGCATTACCTTGGG